TTTCAATAGCAGATGTAAGGATGCCAGGATGGAGGCCAGGTTATAAATGAACTTTCTGTAATAAACCAAGGAAATATCTAAGGTGCAGTCGTGGGCTACATGACACCTTTGATTGCCCTCATTTATCTTCCAAAGGGTGTAATGTGGTCTTGTCGACTCTGTAGGCCAAGCAGGTCACTTGGGGCGTCTGGAACACACATTTCCCTTCTAAGGCATACATCCACCTTGAAGAAATGTTTAAGGATTATGTTCAAGTTCTCTAAGTGCTCCTTATTGGTCTTCCTTGTCATTAGCACATCATCCATAAAAATGGAGCCCTGGGATAGACCTTATAAAGAGCCCTGGGATAGACCTTCATCCGCTGAAAAATGGCACAGGTTAATGAAACCCTAATTGACAGTCTTGGATACTGGTATAAACTGTTGTGGGTATTAATTGTCTCATACTTCTGGGAATCCATGTCCAACCGCAACTGAAGGTACGTACGGCTCATGTCCAGTTTCTTGAAGGACAGCACCCCCGCCAGGTTTGCCTGGAAGTCTTCTATGCAAGGGATTGGGGGTTTACCCAGCTGCAAGAAGCAGTTTATCACTTGTTTAAAATCCCTGCAAAGACAAACCTACACAATTGGTACAATTTGCACTGCCCATTCCGCAAAGTGTATTGGTTTGATGATTCCTTTGCTTTCCAGCCTCCTGATTTCTACCTATACTTTTGCACGTAAGGCAAATGGCACTGGGTGGGCCTTACAGAACTGTGGAGCTGCTTCCTGGTCAACATGCAAGGTGGCCTTGGCTCCTTTGGTAGTCCCTACACTTTCCTGAAAGACGTCCTGGTATTTAATGAGGATTTCACTCAGGCAGCTGTTATCTAATCGAAAAATGTTGAGCCAATTAAGGTGAATCTTTCTCAAACAATTTCACCGCATTAATGTTAACTGAACCAGCTGTTTCTCATACAAGACCAGAATTAGTATAGGTTCTCAATCTAGCCAAGGTCTTACGTAAACTTAAGGGTCGGAGTCCAGAACAAATTCTGTTAAAGACTGGTTCTGCAATCACTGATACAGCCACACATGTATCAACCTCCACTAGAACCCGGTGACCATTTAACCAGATGTTTATTTTAATTAGTTCTGATTTGGATGTTGCTAAGCAATTTAACTGTTCCAAACCAAATGTAGGTGGGCTTTCCAGGGTGTGCACTCTTCTGGATACTGGCCTATGAGTTCTCTTACTCAATTCAGGCCTAGTAGGACTCTTTTGCTGTCTTGAGTCCACATACTGGCAGCAATTACAGTGATTTGCTGGCCCAGAACCTGAAGAAAGTTGAACCTTTGGGCAGAAGCTTGGCTTTGTTTTGTGGTTTTGCTGTGGGCTGACCTTGAGTCCCTCTGTTCAGGATATGTCCTGAGTGAAGGAATGCAATTGCCGTCACTCAAGGGATATCCCTCAAGCTCAGTCAGCCTTCCACTGGCATACCCTATAACTCATATGCTCCACTTGTCGCATTTTCTAATGACAAGCCGGTTGTAGTGCCTTTCTGAAATCCAGTTGGGCTTCAACTACAAGCCATGTGTTTGCATGGTTATATCATTAATCCCATATATGAAACAGTCTCTCAGCATCTCATTAATGGTTAAAACAAGATTAAATCAACCTCTTCCAGTCGTCTGTACCTTGTCAAAAATCCTGACGTGGATTCCCCTGGTTATAGAGATGTACAGCACACAAATAGACTCTTCAGTCCAACTTGCCTATGCTGACCAGATATCCTAAATTAATCTAGTCTCATTTGCCGGCATTTGGCCCATAATCCTCTAAACCCTTCCTATTCATGTACCTATCCAGATGCCTTTTAAAATATTGTAATTGTACCAGCCTCCATTTTCTTGAACTGCCAAGTAAAACCAATGGCCCTCAGAATTACAGGAGGCCTGAGGTCGTAATATTCCGTCAACTCTTGATAGGTTTTAGTATCTGGTGCATCAGGAAACATTAGGCTCCTAATAACTGAAAAGCTTGCGAGTCCGCAAGCTGTCAAGAGAATTACTCATTGCTTCTCATCTGCCCCTATGTCATTCGCACGAAAAAAGATACATTCTTCCCACATACTAGTCCCAGTCTTCGGTGGCAGGATTGAACGAGTCAAGCTTCCCAAATAGTGGCATGATGCCAGAGATGCCCACCTCAAGTCAAAGATGACTGTTGCTAGCGAACTTCTTCAGGAGCACATTTATTTCTTTTGTTGCCACTGAAATATCTCCACAAAGGCTAGTATCCTGTCACTAAGTCACAATTTATTGACACATACATTGTACGTGACACTGGTCCATCCTCCTCAGAGCCAGCTCTCAGAGTGAGCAGAACTTCTGACACTCCTGTTTATATCTGTCAGCCAGGGCTCCCTGATTGGACCAGGTTAACAGCCCCAATTATGGAACTCATATTCTATGAGGTCCACCTGGCTGTCCTTGTTCCAATCACTACACACTCTTTCATCACTGCTAACACTTCCTCACTGTCCCATGACACTTCCCTTGCAAGCTCAGATGGTGCACATTTGCTCTTTCACTTCCTCCCTCTTCACTGTCCAAGGACCCCTTTCAGGTGAAGCAGCATTTTACTCGTACATGTTTTAAGCTAATCTACTGCTCACATTACATTAGTCTACTGCGCCTTTACATTTGTAAATCTAAATGCAGACTAGGTGACCACTCTGTTTGTAACAATAACCCCAACCTTTCAGTTCCTTGCCATTTCCATACCCCATCTTGATTCCATGGTGGTATTTCCATCCTAAGCATGCCACAGTGTTCCCCTGAAATTCCATGTAAACTAAAGGGGCAGCACTTTGTTTCTTGTGGGCTTTCCTCTCAGCAGAAATGACACATTTTCTCATTTTTGAACCTACGATCAACACTTATTTTACATCTTAATTTCTCTATTACCACTATTCACACTATTTTTGACTTTTGTTCTTGGCACCCTCAACATCTGCTCCACTGCTCTCCCTCTTTCTCTGTCAACAGCCTAAAAAAAAATTATATTCCAAGCTCCTTGAGTTTTGAAGAATCACATCAGACTCGAAATGTAGACTCTGTCTTTCTCTCTTCAACTGATGATTTATCGTGCATTTTCTATTTTTTTTAATTTCAGATCGGTAATATCCACAGTATTTTGCTTTTATTATGTTTTCACATTTTGATTTCCTGAAATTAAGCCATGTTTCTCTATTGTGCTAATACGATCAATAACTAACAAAGCCACATCTCCACTATTTCCTTGTTTCCTGACATTCTTAACCTTGACAATTCATGTCCCAATCCATAACATCTGGCAACGACATTTCCATAATGGCTACCAGATATTTTTTTTCATTTCTACTTTCCCTCTCAGTTCATCTGTTTTGTCTCAAATGCAATACACATTCAGACAGAAAGCCATAGTTTTCAATATTTATACATATAAATGATGATGCTTATCCGTTGGCTGACGCGGAGAGTCATACTCTCTGATCCTTCATGTCACTGGAAGGAAATCTAATGTTGATCTTGTTTTTGTACACCCTCTGTGCAGCCGTAACTTTTTACTCCCCTCTCCCTTTAATCACCTTTTGATCTGTATGCCTTTGTTTGCAACGATCTGCTTGGACTGCATGCAAAAGAAAACTTTTCACTGTACTTAGATACATGTGATAATAATAATCCAAGTCAAATCAAAATCTCGTTTCTCTTTGGCCTTCACCCTTCATTTATCACATCTTCCCACTGTTCAGGTTCCGTTTCTTAATTTGATCCGGTCCCGGGTGATCCCGCCCCCCGGTTTATCCCGCCCCCAGGTGATCCGCCCCCAGGTGATCCCGCCCCCGGGTGATCCGGTCCCGGGTGATCCCGCCCCCGGGTGATCCGGTCCCGGGGATCCCCCTCTCTCTTACCGCCGGCCCCGGGCGCAGCTTTTCCGTCTCTTCACCGAGCGACAGCGACCGTTATCCCCGGG